TCCATTAAGCTTTGATGACCAGAGCCTGTCATTAGCCTTTTTTAGCATAATTCTGATGTGGAATATAGACGTTAACACACCCAAACATACACATGCACACACATACACACACACACACACACATACACACAGACTAGAGTTAAAGTGGCATTATCAATAGGAAAGACAATTAGCCAAAACCATTCTATATCTGTCTATGTCTATTTATTTTCGTTTTCAGTAATATAAGAGGTATGAATTGGTGTTTGTTAACTTGAAACTTTTATAAGAATGAGCTCCAGCTCTGATGATGTCCATCGAAAGATGGACGAAAGCTCAGCCAGTTCTCAACCGAACCGAGGGACAGCGTCAACGTGAACGTTGTGTTGTATAAGAGCCAAACGGCTGTAGTACAACTGGACTCATTCGTCCTCTTCTGGTGAGATCGACCTACGAATCGCTTCTTCATGGACTTTTATACGAAATGAAGGTCTCCCCTAGTCGTGTCAACAAAAGGCTCTATGCATCATCTTGTCAATTTGAGATGTGAAATTCTCTCCAAATTGCATGGAATGTCTTTTCACTCGGCAACAGTGAAACCTCGTCTCTTAAAAAAGGTACAATAGTCATAAACCCTTTTCCGAGTGGTAGGGCAGGCCACGATAAGCAAGTGGACATGTGGAATGTGCGATTATGAAGCCCGGAAACCCGACGAGGTACTGCAGTCCTCACGAGAAAATGTAATAGCTTGATTTTGTCTAAATGTCTAATCTTGTAAGGCATCCTGCAAACAAAGAGCCGAGACAATTGTGAATATGATAGATTGTGGTTTGTCGGTTGATTGAGTAGATGGAGATGGGCTATATGAAAATAATCGAGCATTTAGGCGGCAGTTTCAAGTGGTGTCCTGCTGGCTTGAGAATCAAGACGGCGATGAGGGTGAGGAGGCGCTATGAATCTCTTTCGGACGCACTCATTTGGCAGCAAAAGAGAGCTCCGACATTCGCGAAAGATGGCTTGTGTGAGCGTCAGGGGAGTGGCGGAAAAATGTGTGATGCAGGTCCGTTGGCATGGCTCTTCACATGTGAAAAAGCTTGCGGCAAACCGGGCGTGTCAACGTGGACTATCGTGAAACTCCGACGAGATGGGATAGTTGATGGATCTCTCAACGGGGGAGGATAAGTTGAGACGCAAGAAAATCCGAAGGCCGGCCAACGACGCACTAATGCCCTGAAGATGGGTTAGCAAACAGAGCAAAAGATACATGAGAAAAAGAAAACATTTAAAGAAGAATACTATTTCTTTCGATGTGATGCATTTTCCCACAAACCAGTGAGCAAGTCTTGTGTTTCCGCGGAATTTCACATTTCAATGCTTCCCAAAAGGTATTCTCATCACGGCTGAACTATACCTACCAACAGTCCCAGCGGGAATCGATCGCCAGTTGTGAGGGTGCAGCAAACAGTGGCTACACATTAACCACTACGCCACACACTGTCACGAGTGTCTATGGATCACAGGACAGAAGTGAATTTCAAGAAGCCCGAGACCTTTACTATAGAACATTTCTATGGTGTGATTGTCGACAAAGCAGAATGCAACCAACTACATTACATATCTTTCCTTTAGGAGTAGGTTTTCGAGATAACAGAAGAATTCACTCTACTTCGTTTGAGGTGGTGAAGAACTGAAAGTTTAATTTTTCCACAATACTATGAATATAGCTCATTTTTATAACGAATTTCACATATGCTTGCTTTGCAAAAGCTATTCTCATCCAGGTTTTACATCAGCCAAACTCAGCGGGAGTCGAACCTGGCCAGTGCAGGATGGGAAAACTAAACTACACACACACAGTCCTTCATCACCTGAAACGAAATTGGGTGAATTCTGCTCCTCTATCAGATCTACCGGTAGTCTCAAAAACAGACTCACAACTGGAAAATAAATGGCAATTCTGTATAGTCATGCGAAAATCTGCTGTTTGAAAACTTTCCTAGTGAGTTATTGTGACGCAACAGTTAATTTCTGGGCAAAAGATTATTGTAGAGAATTCGTGAATTAATCCCACTGAAAAACACAATACTCCATAGCCAAATAGGCGTAAACCTCGTGGGAGCATAGGTCGGTTTATTTGGGCGAGGAAATAGCTATTGCTACATTCAATTTATTTGTATGCATCAACCTCGCCCATCTGCAAGAATGGGACGCCTCATCAGGATCACACTGTTCAATATAACTAGTGGATGTATGATTGCACGAGATCCGTCTTATTTTCTTTGCTCAAGATATTTGCGACCTTTCTTCGCAAATAATGGATTCTCGCTCTGACGATGTCGGTTAAGGCGGGATAGAGAAAGATAATAAAACAAAAAAATGCGGCTTTCGAAAATCTCCTAAAGCAAGATTGTTGGGAAAACTTTCATTTTGTATAGAAGTGCATGATTAAGAGATTCATGATTCACGTTTTACTGCAGCCATTTGGCCCTACACGACGTTAAGGTTTTTTACGAAATTCACAAGACGTCCTCCAGCTTTTTGGGCGAAGACGGACTGAGCTTTCGTTTGTCGTCAGTGCTGGGACTCATTTTTGCAAAAGCCTCGACTTAACACTTTGTCAAAAAGATATGAGATGTATCCACTCTATTTCGTTTAAGGTGATGAAGGACTGGTAGTAGAATTTTCCCACAACGATATGAGTAGAACTGACATTTCCATTGAATTTCGCATTGCCTTGCTTTCCCAAAAGTTGTTCTCATCCAGGCGCCAGTGGACTACAAGGCTATGTGAAATTCAATGGAAACGTCAGCTCTAATCGTATCATTGTGGAAAAATTGTTCTTCTACCAGTCCTTGATCACCTTAAACGAAATTGGCTGAATACATCTCATACTACTGATTTACTGGTAGTCTCGAAACTCTACTCAAACATGAAAAATAGTCAAGAAGAGTTACAGGTTCTTTTTATATCTTACATATACTCATTGTGAGAACTTTTTTTTTTCCTATATATATGTATGTATGTATGTATGTATGTATGTATGTATGTATGTATGTATGTATGTATGTATGTATG